TTCTGCTACTGTTGAAAATCCTCAAAGGATATGATTCCTGTTATTCTGTTTCTCTTAAAACGATTTTTTAGGAAAATATGTTTCTCAGGCCCAGTAGCTGTTATCGCTATTTCCAATATTGATTTCCTTCCTAACCTTTTATTTGAAGTGGTGTAAAATGTCAACACCTTGATTATCTCACTATTTTCTCTTCAATTTATACTGGGTGGAACAGCAAAATTATCCAAATCGTGTAACTGTAAAATTGCCCACATCGTGTAACAGCAAAATTATACAAGTTGTATGACAGCAAAATTGTCCAAATCGTGTAACAGCTAAATTATCAAAGTCGTGTAACAGCAAAATTATCCAAGTCGTGTAACAGCAAAATTATCCAAGTCGTGTAACAGCTAAATTATCCAAGTCGTGTAACAGCAAAATTGCCCAAATCGTTTAACAGCAAAATTATCCAAGTCGTGTCACAGCAAAATTGTCCAAATTGTGTGACAGCATAGTTATACAAATCGTGTAACAGTAAAATTGTCCACATTGTGTAACAGGAAAATTGTCCACATCGTGTGACAACAAAATTATACAAGTCGTGTGACAGCAAAATTGTCCAAATCGTCTAACAGCAAAGTTGTCCAAATCGTGTATCAGCAAAAATACCCATGTCTTGTGACAGCAAAATTGGCCAAATCGTGTAACAGCAAACTTATACAAATCGTGTAAAAGTAAAATTGTCCAAATGGTGTAACAGCAAAATTGTCCACATCGTGTAAAAGCATGGGATAATTGCCCATCACACTAAATATTTAATATCTCAAAAAACAATTAAACTAATTCAGTTTCTTTTTTTCAGGTTTTAAAATAAGACGTTTAGCCATCTGACATCATCCCTGAAAAAACCTTTTGAGTTATTCAGCTAGAATGAAAACAGATTAAAATCATCTTGTGTTAGCCCCACTATGTCTTTCTAACTGAGCAATGGTGAGAGAATAAAGATCATCCAGTCCTTCAGTAAGGTTGCCAATATTCATTCTGGCTTCCATCTTCAAAGTCCATTCGAGAACGATAAGTTTCAAAATGAGGAAACAGTAGAGAATAAAATTAGATGCGGAGGTCACAGCAGTAAGTGGCATCATCATTACAAATCAGAGCGAAATAAATCAATTAGAAAAGATCCAACTCAATCCATAAGTTTGGCTCGTGAGAGAAGAGTTTCAGGTATGACAGTCCAAAGAGCAGTGACAAACATCTGAAAGTGAAGTACCAGTTTTATATTTTTACAACTAGACAAACAAATTAAAGTAATGTCTTAAAAATAAATGGTTATTTCAGGAGTTTTCTTTATTATTTTCCTATTTTTATATTTAAAATGCTAGAGACACAAAGCAATGTAATGTCTTCAAAATAAATGCTTCTTTCAATAGACTTCATTTTTCTTTTCCTGCTCTCAGAATTCAGGACTAATTTTTCCTTATTAAAATTTAAAGTACCCCGCAGAATTTTAGTTATTAGACAAATGCACCCAGAAGTGAAAAAAGTTGAGAACCACTGCCACATTACCAAATTTCTTAAAATTGAAAAAGGCTTATGGTACATGTTAAGTTGAAACACTGGTTTTCGCAACATCACCGAAGTTAAGCGACGTCGATCCTGGTTAACAGCAAAATTATCCAAGTCGTCTCACAGCAAAATTGTCCAAATCGTGTAACAGCAAAATTATCCATGTCGTGTGACAGCAAAATTGTCCAAATCGTGTAACAGCAAAATTGTCCAAATCTACTTATATTGATGTCTGCTTTTTGACTATCATGTGTTGTAAGCTTGGATGTGTATGGGGTGTAACGTATAACGGCTCGGAATTGGAGAGCCGATTTCTAATCCCAGTGGGTTTCTTTATTATTTCTTTTATTCTTCATTATTTATTTACGCTCAAATACCACAAAGGTGTGAATTCACATCTTCAACTCCCGTCTATGGATTAATTAGTAAGACTTGTAACATTAAATCATAATTATCTCCAAAATACCATTACCCACGAGTAAAAAACAAAACAATTTCTACCAGTATACCAGCTTTTATTATTGGAGCGTAACCTACAGCTACAAGCGAGCGAAGTAGAGATGTGGCAGAATTGAGCGGGGAGGTGCACAGTTCATCGGCTGTCTACTCTGTCCGTTCTGCTTAGCGTGTTTCGTTCCTCTGTCTGCGGGATCTCTATCTATAAAAGGCAGGATGTGTGTGTGTGTGTTTAACGAATGCACGGCCTCAATTTTCGACGGATTTGCACCAAATTTTACATGCACATGCTCCACGTTAGTGGGAAGGCCAAGACCGACTTTGCATTGCCCAACTCCCATCGATAGTGGAAATAATCGTTTTTTTCATGCTTCTACGGCAGTTTTCATGTAGTTTGCAGCCATTTCCTACTGGCCAGAGTGAGAGTCTATAGCTGGCTGCCACAAATAGGCAGGAAGATTCTATTAGCCAGCGTGAGAACCAACAGCTGACTGACACGAATGTTAACTAGAATGCTAGCATGCAAAAAAAATCGATAGCTGCATTCGTCACAATTGGGAAAAATTTAAATCTGCATGGCACTTTACTCCAATTGACTCATTCGCTTGCTTAAACTCAACGTTGATTCTGATTCCGCAGAACTGGGTTGGGTGTGAAAAAGTATTTGTTGTTAACATTCTTTTTTCATTCGGTTTTTCCAGTTACGGGTCCTTTTTTAAAGCTGATCGTTTTGTGTTCATTTTGTTTAGTTCTTTTTTCGTAACAGATTTAATGTTTAGTTTAGAGCTTTGAAAAAAATTCGCAGTGTGAGATAGGCAAGAAGTAAGGCATGTAGCAACAAAAGCACGGCAAAGGGCACTCCTTTAAAGGCAAGGAAGGTCAAAAATATTTTAAGTCAAGTGACACCGATTGCTGTATGATTCGTACGATTTTTGAATCAAGAACGGGAAACGCCGGACCATGCTGCTAGTGTTCAGATAATGAATTTGTTTGTTTTGTCATCTTCGTCTAAAAAAGTAATTTAGCTTCATTCCGTGACTTTCTCTCTGTCTGAGCCTCTTGCTCTGTATTTTGAAGTTGACTTCACTTACTGATAACTATCGGTTGAATGTAAATGGTTCAGATATTCTTAATTTAGCAAAACCTCTGCTTGGCTCTTGTTGCTACAAGAACAGGAATATTTACGGGAATCAGAAAAGAACCAGATGCAGGGAATCTGGCTCAAGACAATTCTTCCGCGTGTGATTCGTCAGAAGCTCGCGTGTCCCTGGCGAAGAAACTTATTTAAAAATAGGCCATATTTGCAAAACCTGGGTCATTGTTTTGTACTATGTCCTAAGTTGATAAATGTTCCGAAATGACAAAGACAAGGCCAAAAAGGGGCACCCAGTGAGGATCAAACTCACTACTCAGACGAAGATCTAGCGAGGCAAGCTTGCCAACTGCTACACTACGTCGAAGTGTCCATAAACGTTTTTTAAGCGTCGCTTAAATGTGGCACAAGGCCGAAATTATGGGGCACACAGTGAAGTTCCAAGTCACTATTCAGTCGTAATTAATCTAGAAAGACAAGCCAACCACTCATTGCATCACTTCGAAGTGTCCAACTTCTAAGTAAATATGTAATGACTTTTATATATATATATATATATATATATATATATATATATAAGAGGTCTCGAACCACCGGACCGTCGACCGGCATCAGTTGGTACTGGGCCCTAGACATTTTGGTTCTGGGCCCTCGAGCATTTAATACTGGTCGTGGTCTATTTAGTAACGAGCTGTAGAACGATTGGTAACAGGCTGTAGTCCATTTGGTACCGGGCTGTGGACATTTTGGTACTAGACCGGGGACCTTTTGGTAACGGGCCGTGGACCATTAGGTACCGAGCCGTCGGCAGTTTGGTACTGGACTGTAGAATTTTTGCTACTAGGCCATGGGCCATTTGCTACTGGGTGGTGGACTATTTGTATTTGGTACCGGCTCTTTGACCATCTGGTACTGGGCCGTGAACCATTTGATAGAGGGTCGTGGACCATTTTGTACCGGGCCGTGGACCATCTTGTACTGGGCCGTGAACCATTTGATAGAGTCGTGGACCATTTAGTGCCGGGCCGTTGACTATCTGTTACTGTGACGGGAACCATTTGATAGATGGACCATTTTGTGCTGGGTCATGGACCATTTGGCACCGGACCGTGCACCATCTTGTACTGGGCCGTGAATCATTTGATAGAGTCGTGGACCATTTATTACCGAGCCGTGGACCATCTGGTAATAGTCCGTGAACCATTTGATAGAAGTTCGTGGACCATTTAATACAGAGACGTGGACCATCTGGTACTGGGCCGTGAACTATTTGATAAATGGACCATTTGTACTGGGCCGTGGACCATCTGGTGCTGGGCTGTGGACCATCTGGTAATGGGCTGTGAACCATTTGATAGATGTTCGTGTGTCATTTGGTACCGGGTCGTAGATTATCTGGTACTGGGCCATGAACAATTTGATAGAGGTTCGTGGACCGTTTAGTACCGGGCCGTGGACCATCTGGTACTGGGTTGTGAACCATTTGATAGATGGACCATTTTGTGGTGGTCCGTGGACCATTTTGTGCTGGGCCGTGGACCACCTGGTACTAAGCCGTGAACCATTTGATAGAGGATCGTGGACCATTTGTTGCCCGGAGGTGGGCCATTTGGTAGCACATAAAAAATTAAACCTTTTGTTTACATTTTATTGACCATAACGCCCTTGTTTATTGTGCCTCGTTGTGCGCATGACCGAAACCGTCTGCCCACATAATCCGTAGATAAAATTGTTTTTCTTCACATCAGTCAGTATCGCACGAAAACATTGGCGATCGGTGACTTATATGACAGTGAATGCATGACAATTTCATTGCAGCTTGAGAAATGACCTAATTTTCTACATCGATCTGGCATAGATTAGTTCCACCAAGGGAAATAATTTTTCATGCCTACAGAAACAAATGGTATCTCAAATTTTTTTTTTTATTGAAAATCTCTCTCTCCCCGCCTCATTTTATTTGTTTATGTTCATTAGCAGTAAGAAGAGTTTCTAATTTATGAGATGTCACCTTCGCATAATTCCGTTCACACGTCTGTGAATTACATCGCTCATCCGTTTGGACTCTGGAACCTCTGAAAATTCAGTATTGCTTGAATTCATTTTGCAGTTTCAGTCGCTTCGTTCCGCAGCGCTTTATTCCCTGTGGATAATAAACCTCAGCATATGCCATCGAGACCTGACAGCGGTTGCTTTACTGCCGCGCTGGTAGGACATAGTGAAAAATATCTATAAATCCTCTTGTAGTAAATTTGGTTCATCCAATCAATAAAAAATCACACATCTCAGTCTAAGATGGCGATTTAACAAACCAAGTAGGTGTACAAACGCACAATATACTCAAAGCTGCGGATCATACATGCGAAAGTGTATATATTCTATACATTCATTTTATTATCTTACTCTGCGCATACATATCTATCATCTATCTATATATATATATATATATATATATATATATATATATATATATATATATATATATATATCAGTCTATTGATATCTATCTATTTCAATCAATTGATGTCAATCTATCTATCTATATCTATCTATCTAAGGATATGTGTGTATCTATCTATTTCAGTTTATTGATATCTATCTATCTACTTATCTACCTCAGTCTATTGATATCTATCTATCTCAGTCTATTGATAGCTATCTATCTCAGTCTATTGATATCTTTCTATCTATCTATCTCAGTCTATTGATATCTTTCTATCTATCTATCTCAGTCTATTGATAGCTATCTATCTCAGTCTATTGATATCTTTCTATCTATCTAAATCTATTGATAGCTATCTATCTCAGTCTATTGATATCTTTCTTTCTATCCATCTCAGTCTATTGATATCTATCTATCTCAGTCTATTGATAGCTATCTATCTCAGTCTATTGATATCTTTCTATCTATCCATCTCAGTCTATTGATAGCCATCTATCTCAGATTATCTTTCTCTATCCATCTCAGTCTATTGATATCTATCTATCTCAGTCTATTGATAGCATGCCTCAGTCTAAAATCCATCAATTGATAGTATCTCATTGATATTTTTTTTTCAGTCTATTGATATCTATCTATCTCTCTATTGATAGCTATCTATCTCAGTCTTTGATTTGTTTATGTTCCATCTCAGTCATTGATAGCTAATCTCAGTCTATTGATTTTTCTATCTATCCATTTCAGTCTATTGATATCATCTACGTCATTGAATCTATCTCAGTCTATTGATATCTTTCTATCTATCCATCTCAGTCTATTGATAGCTATCTATCTCAGTCTATTGATATCTTTCTATCTATCCATCTCAGTCTATTGATATCTATCTATCTCAGTCTATTGATAGCTATCTATCTCAGTCTATTGATATCTTTCTATCTATCCATCTCAGTCTATTGATAGCTATCTATCTCAGTCTATTGATATCTTTCTATCTATCCATCTCAGTCTATTGATAGCTATCTATCTCAGTCTATTGATATCTTTCTATCTATCTATCTCTGTCTATTGATAGCCATCTATCTCAGTCTATTGATATCTTTCGGTTCTCTCATAGCGCATTTACATCTATTAATCTATCTATCAATCTCTCTTCAGCCTGCTATCTATCTATCTATCTATCTCTCACAGTGTATTCATACCTATCAATCTAGCTAAGTATCTATTTATCTATCTCAGTGCATTCATATCTATCAAAGCAATTCATATCTATCAATCTAGCTATGTATCTAACTATATCAATATATTCATATCTATCTACCTATCTATCTCAGTATAGCCACATCGCTTTCTTTCTCCCCACACTCTCTATTTATCTATCTATCAGTATATTCATATCTATCTAGCTAGGTATTTATCACAGCGCATTCATATCTATTAATTTCAGCGATTTTTATATCTATCAATGTATATCAATATATTCATATCTATGTATCTATCCAGTGCATTTATATCTATCTAATTCACACACACACACACACACACATATATATATATATATATATATATATATATATATATATATATATAAAAATATAGTCTTAAGGTGTGCTATATTTATGGGATAAAGTGCTCAATATCAGAGATAGAGCGTGTAAATATAAAAGTGAACTGTGCAGGCATGAAAATAAATTTTACTACGTAACCTAAAAAATGAAAAACGGAAAAAAATAAAATAAAAACAAACAAATACACTAATCAATAAAATAAAATAAAATAAATAAATACTATGTTGCTTAAAACCGAAAACCGAAAAGAAAATATACAAATAAATTGACCTAAATTCATCCAACCAATCCCAAATTAAAAACTGTTCCTGCCAAAAAAATAATAGTTAGAATGAACTACAACAACCAACCCCAAAATTGAACAAATAGCTTTAATTAAATTCTCAAACCAAAACAAAACTATTAAATACGTGATATAAACAAATTTTACTACGTTAATAAATAAATAAATAAATAAAAATAAGAAACAAAAAAAAAAAAAAATAAAAAATAAAAACGAGCAATATAATTTGACCCAAATAAATAGACAAAACGACTTCCGGTTTTCAAAATAACCGCCATAATAGAATCTCCACTAACCCGCATATATATAAATAGCCGAGAAAAATAACAGCATATGTGGCTATAGCTATCTATGTTCACTTTTTATACATATATATATATATATATATATATATATATATATATATATATATATATATATGTTGTTATTTTATTGATGCTATGTAAAAGTACGGTATTTGCTAGCTATTCGAACGATAAATCGTAGAGACGACTTCGAATTCTTTTCGAGTTCGTCACATTTTCTTTCGTCTGAAATACACCGAGGAGAAACTTCTTGAACTATTTCTCCAACAATACCGCCCTCTAGTTATATTGATGTCTCTGTCAGTGTTTCGAAACCAGTCCGTAAGAAAGAATTCTCTGAATTTAAAACTCTGAAGAACTAAGCAAAAAGTCATATGTGAAGATTAAATATTATACATGTAAAACAAAAAATAAATCCAACAGCAAAATATAAAACATTAATAATTAAGAATGACCACGACACCTACATTTTCCATTTATTAACAAAGTATTTTTTAAAGCTTATCACCCATTCAAAACACTAAAGCCACTAAAACACAGAGTTACTGAGTGTTAAAGAAACATAATTAAGTAGCGAAAAAACAATAGAAAAATGGCCAAGAAGTCATTAGATAATAATGGACATTGCCTTTGAATTTTTGAAAATCAAACTTCGTTGGAAAGCAAGAATCCGGAAGAAAGTTCAACAAGCGAGCAACGAAATTGTTAATATAGAAATTACGCTATTTACATTATTCGGACTATTTTTTACAACGTTTCAGCCGTTGTACGCCCAGTCTTCAGGTGGTTGGAATGTCGAACTGAATTTTGCTCATGGGTTAGACTGTTCTAGTACTATAATGGATGTCATTGTCATTATCTTCTATTAATTCCCTCTCCAAGTTCTCCACTAGTCTCTGTTAAGTTTTAATCTCACAACCCCTCTTTAGTTCTAACATTCGTCCCAATAATCTCATACTTACTATTTTAATTTCAGGTTTTTTTTTCTGTTTTCTTTTTGAATTTATAGGTCTGATAAATTGGATCGTATTTACGATTCCAATGGAATAAATTATGGCCATGGAATATTAGTGTTTAAGCCTTAACCGGGTATTGAACTCACATTCTTTGCGCCCTGTCACTGGATCTAACTAACACCTTTATCCACCCTGCCATGTGTCCTTGAAAATAAAGGGTTCAGTTCATTCCAACCACCTGAAGAAGGCGTTGGCCGAAACGTTGTAATAAATATGGCGACAAAGATGAGGACAATAGTCCGATTGATGCAAATATTGTACATAATACCTCATCTCAGAAATATAGACAGATAGTGATAGAAATTACGGTCACATATAAGCAATTCAACTGTGTATCGATGAAACCTTTCCGCCAATCACGTGATGGGCTTAAATTCATAAAGCCCAGGTAACAATGTGGAATGTTCACCAGAACACTTACCGAGTATTGATAGAAAAAGACACAGGTAAGCTACGTTACGCTGGAGGGAAAGTTACAGAAGACGAGACGCCAGGTCAGGGCTTATAATATTGTAGATTCTTTTAGGGATTATATCAAGATAATTACAAGGATTATAATACAAATAATTCGGTATATATGGTTATTTTCTTAAACATGGCTTAGATGTGGCATAAGACCGAAAGCAAGGAGAAACCCAATGAGGATCGAACCCTCTACTCCGTCGTAAATGATCTAGCGAAATAAGCCCGATAAATATTACATCAGGATGAAGCGTCCAAAATGATTTTCTAAGCGTAGCCGAATGTGTGGAGCATCCAGGGAGGAATTAACTTACTGCTCAATCGTATTTAATATAGCAAGATATGCTTGCTAATTATTACACGACATCGAAGCGCACAGAATGAATTTCTAAGCGTAGCTTGGTTGTGGCACAAGGCTGAAACTTTGGAGTACCCACTGAGGAATGAACTCACTTATATTCGGTCGAGCTAATTTGGACATTCATGGGTCTATTACGTTAACCATCACGGTCCTGCATCACAAGTCGAAAGTTTATTATCATGGCATTCTGTTTTATAATATAATTGGTCAATATCGGTGGTTGCAAAGGCAACCAACCCGTTTTGCTCCATCGCCATCTGTCCACAGAAGTAGATCAATCGAGATTTCCTGTTTTGATTCTCAGCAGTGCCCTGCAAATTGCATTCTAGATTTATATGTAGTATGGTATTCGAAGACGCTTGCTCAGGCGCATTTTGTGTTTGTTCAACGCCCACGGAGCCCACCTGTAGTTTATACTGTAAATATGCTGAGCAGTCCTTGGTTACAGTTTCTGGGAAATAACGTTTTATCTAGTATGATTAAAAATTTGAACAACGCCAGCACGCTCAAGCCTTCGGCCACGATGACTTGTGACTTCGTGCTAGCTCAGTTACCGTCTACCCAATTTCACTCACAGGGCTTGGGTCAACCTGGGGTATGATTTACAGTCGTTTTCTAAAGGTGCCGCACCATGTTATCGACCTAGACATTAGAAAGTCTCCCTACTGACAAATCAACCATGGTGAGATATATATAGTTAGTTAATGAAGATATTTGGTAATCTGTATGGATAATTCCAAGGAAAATATATATATATATACATATATAAATTCTTATTATGATACAATCACGGAGAAAGGATTCTCCTTCCTGACAAATCGACCATGGTGAGATTCGAACCCCGGTCTCATGCTCAGAATGTAAACGTTCTAACTATATAATTCATGTAAGAATGCAGAAATATCAGGGATGGGTCTATGGAACTATGATTTAGTTGAATGTTGTCTCCAAGATGTTAAGTGTAGTTCTCAATATCCCGGTGTAACGTTCCATCAAGCTTAGGCTCTAGGATTTTAGTTAACGTCAAAGCTAAGGCGCCATACTTTAACACCGTCTCTAGAAGATCATATTTCCAGAATACATCCATTTTATTCAAGTCGTTCCAAGCTTTAGCTATGCGAATTTTCACTTCCTTTTCAGTAGAATTTATTTCGCTTCCTCGATATGTAAAAGATTCGGTAGATTTTATTGATTGACCGAGGACAGGTTGTATTGAGCCTTGCTGGTTGAAGCCTATGAATTCAGTTTTAGAGGCATTGACACAGATTCCACGATAGTTGACAGCATCTAGACGATGTAGGAGAAATGTGGGCTTAGCAATGGTGCCTGCAGTGATAGCTCGGTCATATTTATAGTCAATATCTGTCAACTTTTTTGAAGGATATCAACCTGAGATTGACGTTTACCAAATAATTTAGAAACTTTCTGCGAGATTGTATCATAATATATATATATATATATATATATATATATATATATATATATATATATATATATATAAGGTAGGATGTGTGTGTGTGTGTGTGTAACGAGTTCACGGGCACATGCTCCAAGTTAGGGGGAAGGCCAAGACCGACTTTGCATTGCCCAACTCCCATCGATAGTGGAAATAATGGATTTTTTCATGCTTCTACGGCAGTTTTCATGTAGTTTGCGGACATTTTCTACTGGCCAGAGTGAGAGCCAATAGCTGGCTGTCACGTATAGACAGGAATATACTATTGGCCTGCGTGAGAGCCAACAGCTGACGGACACGAATGTTAACTAGAATGCTAGCATGCAAAAAAAATCGATAGCTGAATTCGTCACAAGTGGGAAAAATTTAAATCTGCATGGCACTTTACTCCAATTGGCTCATTCGTTTGCTTAAACTCAACGTTGATTCTGATTCCGCAGAACTGGGTTGGGTGTGAAAAAGTATTTGTTGAAAACATTCTTTTTTCATTCGGTTTTTCCAGTTACGGGTCCTTTTTTAAAGCTGATCGTTTTGTGTTCATTTTGTTTAGTTCTTTCTTCGTAACAGATTTAATGTTTAGTATAGAGCTTAGAAAAAGTTCGCAGCGTGAGATAGGCAAGAAGTAAGGCATGTAGCAACATCAGCACGGCAAAGGGCACTCCTTTAAAGGCAAGGAAGGGCAAAAATATTTTAAGCCAAGTGATAGCGATTGCTGTATGTGTAGTAAGATTTTTGAATCAAGCACGGGCAACGCCAGGCCATGCTGCTAGTATATATATATATATATATATATATATATATATATATATATATATATATAAATAAACTCCTTGGAATTATCCTTAAAGATTAACAAATAACTTCATTAAGTAACTATATATATCTCACCATGGTCGATTTGTTAGTAAGGAGCGGAGGGGTGGATACCACCGTGCGACACCTTTTGAAAGTGCCTGAAAACCATACCACGGGTTGACCCAAGCCTTGTGAGTGAAATTTGGTAGACACAAAGCTTGGGTGCCGTTGAAAACCGTGCTAGCAGGACGTCACAAATCATCGTGGCTGAGTTCTTGAGCGTGCTGGCCTTGTTGATTAAGCTACAAAACACGCTCTTTCCCAGAAACTAAGGTCTGCTCAGCATAGTTGCATTATAAACCACAGGTTGGCTCTGTGGGTGTTGAATGAAATCAAATGGGCCTGAGCAAGCGTCTGCAATAGGGATTGGCTATCCGCCTAAATAGACAGGTATCCTCAAATACGAATACCAGCTATATATATATATATATATATATATATATATATATATATATATATATATATATATATATATATATATATCATGTAATCGATCCGTTGATATATAATCCGGGTAGGTTCTAATAATATTAATTATTAAAATTGATCTACAGAGAGCTTGATGTTTTTATTTTAACTGAAAATATATATTTTTTACAGCAAAAAACAAAAAAATGACCTCAACACAGAGATGGTCTATTTGAAACCATTGTTTGCGCGGCTACCATCAGCCCCAAAGTGTCTATCTTGGAGCATTGTTTTAAATTTATTTTCAATGTCAATTCTCCTCTGATAGACGCCTTGATAAAGAGAATTGAAGAGAACCCACTGCAGGGCTTATAATATTGCAGATTCTTTCTTGGATTATATCAAGATATTTACAAGGATTATAATACAAATAATTCGGCATATATGGTTATTTCCTCAACATGGCTTAGATGTGGCACAAGGCCGAAACATGGAGCACCCAATGAGGATCGAAGGCTCTACTTCGTCGTAAATGATCTAGCGAAATAAGCTCGATAAATATTACACTGCGTGCCAAATTATTATTGAGATAACTTTTTTTTAATATTTCAAAAACCGTCCAATCAATTCACACAAAATGTTGGCAACATTGACCTGCACAATACCTGAAATTTTCGTATTGATCTGCGAAATGTAAACAAACTGGCGCCATATTTTTTATCAGCACGGTGATATATATATATATATATATATATATATATATATATATATTACAACGTTTCGGCTGTTGTACGCTCCGGTCTTCTTCAGGTGATTGGAATTTATCTTCAATATCTGTCTATATCTCTGAGATGAGGTATTATGATTAGTTGCCTTATTTACATTATTCGGACAGTTATCCTCATCTTCATTGCCATATTCACAACGTTTTAGCCGTTGTACGCTCCGGCCTTCTTCAGGTGATTGGAATTTAAATCGAACCCTTTATTTGGTCCACTGGGGTTGATTGTTAAAGCTCCACGTGCCCTGTCTCTTCCAAATGTCTCAGTTATTTCCCTTTAGCTCAAATCTCCAAATTTTTGTTCACCACTGCTGTGGCCTGTTAATCACTGGATCTAACCAACGTCTTTAGCCATGTGCCCTTGAGGACATCTGTATATGAATTTTTGGGACTTATAAATCTAATGTCTCAGCAGCCATTTTTTTTTTGCAATTTTTATACCAGAGATACAAAGGATCTGTGGTCCATATAACATCAGGACAACCTTCACAAAGGGTTCAACTCTTCGCAGACGCCTCTTCTGAGTAAGATCCCCCCACAGAGGAGAACATGACTATGAACTGCGTGTACGCTATCTCCTGAAGCTGTAGTAAGAAATACAAAGGAGAAAATCGTAAAGCGGTAACACAAGGGTAAATAGAAAAAACAGGCGTAGTTGACTACATATGGAAGAAAAATGGAGATCACCGCTACCTCTGGGAGGAGGCTGAAACAATAGACAGAAAGCATCACTGGAAAATACGAAAACTTAAGGAATCATCACATATGCCAGGCCCCAGGAATCTCCGTAGCCGACCAAATAAATAAAATATGGGAATCAGTAATAAGGAGTGCTGGAGAAAAGCAATGAATAGAATCAAAAATTGCAATATAATAATGGTAAAGTAGGTGTGATATTTGAGTAGGACAAGTGCTGGGTTGATTTAATCATGCAACGCTTCAAAGCAAGAACTAAGACGATTGCACAAATTGTTCGTGACCTGCTCTTTGCTGACGATTGCGCATGTGTAGCCCACATCCTTGAGGATATGCAATGGATCGTTAAGAAATTCTATCGTGCATCAAAACCTTTCGGTCTGACTATCCCCCACCTGTTCATCCCAATTTTTATGTTGAGGGTAAAAGTCTTGAAAACCGCTTCCTCTTTCACCAATATTGGCTCCATTATATCCAACAACGCTAAAATGAACAAAGAAATTTAGTGCAAGATTGGAAAGGTTAGTTCTACCTTCGGTAATCATTGACACAGAATACCCGTGACGTTTCGTTAAAAGTAAAAAATTGATGTACACAAGTCAGTAGTACTGGCATCCCTATATTATGGTGGAACATTTTCGACTCTGTACCGACGACACATCAATCAACCCCTGCCATGTGTCCTTGAGGAAATAAACGGTTCAGTTCATTCCAACCACCTGAAGAAGGCCGGAGCGTACAATGGCCGAAACGTTGTAATAAATATGGCGACAAAGATGAGGACAATAGTCCGAATGATGCAAATAGTGTACATAATACCTCATCTCAGAAATATAGACAGATACTGATAGAAATTACGGTCACATATAAGCATTTCAACTGTGTATCGATGAAACCTTTCCGCCAATCACGTGATGCGCTTAAATTCATAAAGCCCAGGTAACAATGTGGAATGTTCACCAGAACACTTACCGAGTATTGATAGAAAAAGACACAGGTAAGCTACGTTATGCTGGAGGGAAAGGTACAGAAGACGAGACGCCAGGTCAGGTCTTATAATATTGCAGATTCTTTTGAGGATTATATCAAGATATTTACAAGGATTATAATACAAATAATTCAGTATATATGGTTATTTCCTAAACATGGCTTAGATGTGGCACAAGGTCAAAAGCATGGAGCACCCAATGAGGATCGAAGGCTCTACTTCGTCGTAAATGATCTAGCGAAATAAGCTCGATAAATATTAAACTGCGTGCCAAATTATTATTGAGATAACTTTTTTTTAATATTTCAAAAACCGTCCAATCAATTCACACAAAATGTTGGCAACATTGACCTGCACAATCCCTGAAATTTTCGTACTGATCTGCGAAATGTAAACAAACTGGCGCCATATTTTTTATCAGCACGGTAATATATATATATATATATATATATATATATATATATATATATATATATATATATATAACAACGTTTCGGCTGTTGTACGCTCCGGTCTTCTTCAGGTGATTGGAATTTATCTTCAATATTTGTCTATATCTCTGAGATGAGGTATTATGATTAGTTGCCTTATTTACATTATTCGGACAGTTATCCTCATCTTCATTGCCATATTCACAACGTTTCGGCTGTTGTACGCTCCGGCCTTCTTCAGGTGATTGGAATTTAAAATCGAACCCTTTATTTGGTCCTCTGGGGTTGATTGTTAAAGGCCTTCCACATGCGACGTTATGATGGTGACGCTATGCCTCCGTTCATCTTCCCACAGGGCCTCACACTCAACGCGGAGGCCTACATCAAGTGCCTTGAGGAGGTAGTACTGTCTTATGTCAAGAGGATATCTAGCGGAAGGATGTATTGCTTTCGTTGGTTTCACTAATGCCTTTGATACCGTTTCAAGCGATGCTCTTTGGGGCGTCTCTTGGAAGCTGAGTATTGCTGAATAGCTGTTCAGTGTCATTACGTCTTTCCATCAGGGAATGATGGCTTCAATTAGATCCAGTGGAGAGGCTTCAGAACCATTCATTTTCTCTAAATTGAACAAAAGTGGGTTGTGTTCTTACATCTCTCTTATTTGCTTTGTATTTTTATATCCTAATAGAATTGGTATTTGAGAAGATTAAAGAAGTTGTGAGATTTGGGTTTAGGACAAGGGGAGGGTTGATTCAAACCAGCAACATTTCAAAGCAAGAACTAAGACGATTGCACAAACTATTCGTAACCTCCTCGTTACAAACGATAGTGCATATGTAGCCCACACCCTTGAGGATATGCAATAGATCGTTAAGAAATTCTCTCGTGCATCAAAACCTTTCGGTTTGACCATCTCCCAGCTATTCATCCCAATTTTTATGTTTGTTGTGGATTCCGGGATTAAATCCGGTCTCAAATGAATGACAAACGCAGGAATAAAATATAGCAAATAAATGTATTAACGTAATAATACAATTGGTAATACGGTTAGTAGATCCAGAAATGCGGTTAGTAGCAATAATAATATATATACAGTCTGGGAAATTCAGTATCGAAGTATGACTTCCTTCTGAGTCTATGTGCTCGCAACTGTGACTTCTACAACGCGGTTACCTCTCTCTCTCTCTCTCTCTTTCTCTCTCTCTCTCTCTCTCTCTCTGCCTCACACTCCCGGTTATTCACCGGCAGCAGTACAAGTACACACTGGGCGAGTCCACTTGTATAAAAAAGGAGTGGACCGATTAACAATGTTGAGTGGAAAAATCTTGAAAACCCCTTCCTCTTTCACCTATCTTGTTTCCATTATATCTAACGGAGCAAAAATGGACGAAGAGATTGAGTGCAAGATTGGAAAGGTTAGTTCTGCCTTGGATAATCCTTATCACAGAATACCCGTGATGTTTCGTTAAAGATGAAAACTGATGAATAATTATGTAGATTCATATTAGTGAACAGCACTGCAAATGGCCTAAGATGAGTTAAAAATAGAAATAGATTGCATCCTATCACTCCAGTGGGTTTTAAACTGACCGTATGGTGAAAGAAAGGAAACTTGTTCCAATTAATTTGCCAAAGGATGTATTACATTCATTGATTTCACTAAGGCCTTTCATACCGTTTCAAGAGATGATGTTTGGGGCGTCCCTTGGAAGCTGAGTATTTTTTTTAAGCATTTCACCCCAAGCAAGGCGGGAAGCCACTAGGACGCAAGGGGTTACAGAAAATAGCAAGATCAGATAGGAGTGATAGAAGAAAGGATGAGGGTAGTGGATAGATCAAGGTAATTGGAGATGTTGATTGACATTACACTTGAATAGCTGGAGATTATAGCTCACAGGGAAACAGGAGAAGGGAAGGGAGTTCCACAGGCGAGAGGTGCGAGACATGAAGCTATTAGAGTAGAAGAGACGGCTACATTTAGGAGTTTCGACAGTGAAGGGGTGAGAGCGGGATTCCAGCCTCGTAGGGCGCTGGAACTCATGACGTCTGGGAACCAGCGAATGCAGCTCCTCGGAGCAATTTCCATGAAAGTATTTGTAGAACAGACAGAGGGAGGGGGCGGCGCGTCTGTGAGAAAGTGACTGTAGACGAGACGCCAGGGCAGGGCTAACCATATTGCATATCCGCCTCTGGAGCCTATCAAGAACCCCGAGGCAAACAAAGGGGCGCCAGACCATATATGGCAGCAATACTCCATGCAAGGGTGAATTGTGGATTTGTATATCTGGAGGATCGACTCAGGGGAGAAAAACTTCCTAGCGCGGCTCAGGGAGCCAACTTTCCTCGCAGTGGACGAGGCTGAAAAGATGTTCAGTGTCATTATATCTTTCCATCAGAGGATGATGGCTACAATTATATCCAATGTAGAGACTTCAGAATCATTAATTGTCTCTAAAATGAACAAAACAGAGTTGTGTTCTTGCACCTCTCTTATTTGCTTTGTATTTTTATATCTTGGTCGAAATGGCATTCGAGAATATAAGAAAACGTGTGAGATTTGAGTTTACGACAAATGGTGGGTTGTTCAACCAACAACGAAGAAGCTATTCGTGACCTGCTCTTTGCTGACGAATGCGCACGTGTAGCCCACACCCTTGAGGATATGCAATGAATCGTTAAAACATTCTTTCGTCCGTCAAAACCTTTCGGTCTGACCATCACCAAGCTGTTCATACCATTTTGTATGTTGAGCGGAAAAGTCTGGAAAACCGTTTTCTCTTTCACCTATCGTGGTTCCATTATATTCAACGGCGCTAAAATGGACAAAAAGATTGAGTGCAAGATTGAAAATTTTAGTTCTACCCTCGGTAATCATTATCACAGAATACACGTGATATTTCATTAAAGGTAAAAACTGATGTATACAGGTCAGTCGTACTGACATCCCTACTCCATGATGCAAAATTTTGAACTCTATACCGACGACATATCACCCAACTTCCTTCTGAGTAAATGCAACATGACTGGTATTGAAGCCGTCCTAATGAAAATCTAACTTGTGTGTCCTGGAGATCTTTCTCGTATGAACAATACTTCTATAACAACACTTCTTTGGCCATCTTCTAACAAGAAGTTCAGTTAGAAGCGACTCTTGCGTTTCAAAGACAAAGAATCTGAAGCGATGCTGTATCCTCGTTTCTATCTGGGTGGGGGAAGCATCAGAGCGGAAGGGTTTGCACCTGTCTTGCTTCTCATCTATACAAAGGCTTGGGCGAGGCCGACGCGAGTTCACCTGTGTGCTCTTATTAAAGAATCTTGACAGCATGCTGCTCTTCCCAATGATAGCCTTTACCCGCCACTGAGAGTTTGGCACACCAAGTAAAACAGGCCTTGCTCTCCAGTCGCCGAAACGTGTGATAGATGATATGGCTCAACCATATGTTTCATCTATCTAAAAGTTCGCAAAACACCTGCAGGCCCTGGTAGAAACATGCCTGTCCATAGAAGTTGAGCACCTCCTTATTTTACTGAGACTTCATTTAAAGTCTCGACGAGATTCCACCATATATATATATATATATATATATATATATATATATATATATATATATATATATTTAGACATTTTTATAATTGTCGGACTTCGTCAATTTCATAATGTGTGACGTCATTTGTTTACGCATTGAGCAGATATGAATGTACGAGAGAAAATCATGGAGAATTTTAGTTTAAAAACAGTAAAATTGACCTTGCTAACCGAATCACTCATCTGTGGCTAAATCGGTAATGCACGTCTGGCTCTATGATGGTTCTGTATAGGATACAGGTTCGAATGTCTTAAAATAATTGTAATTTCTTTTCAATATAATATGTATATATGGACTGTGTGTGCGCAAATATGCAGAAAAATAGGAAAGAACACGTTATAAATAATCTGGGTATATTTAGTATTTTTGTTTTCAATTTAAAAATATATATAAATTATAATTTTTGTCGACATCAGCAAATTTTCGCATTAAATAATTAGCATAAAAATTAAATTTGTAGTCTAATAAAAGTTTAAAAGTGTGATAGAAAAACCCATTAGTACCTCGTCAAAAAAAATTGTAGTTCAGTGCGAAATAACAGCCCTTTGGAAAAAAAAAATAAATAAATAAGGAAATAAATAAATAAAATAAAATTAGACACTTAACGACGTAATAATTGCTGTGATTCTTTTGAATGCCATCATTTTTAAAATGGACACACTTTTTCAATTTTCCGAAAAATACAGTGCTCCTTATCAAAATTTGTCGAGCCGTTTCCATAAATTTAATTTTTGAACATCGACAAATTTCAAGATCGGTTAAAATTTTCGCTTTGAAATAATATTTAATTCAATTTAAAAAATTAAAGGATTTTGTCTTGTTTTTGTCTATATAAAAGGTTTTTAAATTTATATATATATATATATATATATAAGTAGTCAATATTGGTAAACTATACTGTTATACAAATTTCCATAATATAGGTTTATATTAATTAGCTACTATATTTCCATAATATTCTCTCCCGTCTAACTCTTAAATTGTCGAATGTATAACTAATTATAATTTCTATATCTACCGCGCCTCTATAACCTCTTTACATTCCTTAATTATAATTTATAAACTTCCCCCTACTGTAAGATCTCCACAACTCTCTTTCCATTAATCCATTGTAATTGTAATGTAAATAGTAAAATAGCAGTAAAATCCCTTTGGAAAAATCCGGGACCAATAAATCAAAAAATAAAAATAATGTAAACGTAAAATACAAACTGGTAAACAGGTTAAAATGTGAAAAAAAATATCTATACAGTCTTTGGTATTGATTACTGTAACGAGTCTACGTATTATTGGTGATCGTTCTGTCTATCTGTTACCTTCCTCTCAGCCTATTTCTGTTTGCTCGTGATTCACGTAGACGATATGTATATACTGGGTGAGTCGATTTGTTTAAAAGGAGGACCCCTCATTCTGTGGCGAAATCGTTAAAATGGACACACCGTATAGGATACAGGTTCGATTACTGTCGAAGGACGCATTTTTCTATTTTCTCGACATTCAGGCCGGTAAATGTCGTTAATACTGTTTATTATAAACAGAATTTACTTAAATATTTGTATCTGTAAAAAGAATGTATAAACATGAAAAATGTCTTAAAATAATTGTCGGACTCTGTCCATTTCATAATATATATATATAATATATATATATATATATATATGTCTAATCCCTCCTAGCCGTTAAAACTGATCCATAAAAATTCAATGCATTTTTAATGAACAAATAATTAATAAACATTTACTTAATTTTTGTATCTATAAAAAGAATATATAAACAAAAAATGCGTAAATATTATATATATATATATATATACAGTTATTCCTAATATATATATATATATATATATATATATATAATATATATATAAGCTTTAATTCAATTTAATTTCAATAAAATATATTGAAAATGGATTTTGACGTTTCGGTTTTTAATAAACAATTTTTCAAGACAAATTTTTGAAAACATGACATAAAAACTCTTATCCGTACAGGAATTTTAAAATAATCACGAACTTTTAGGAATACGTTATGAAAGCGTCGCCCATGTGACTACAGCGTGACCACGTTTTTTTTAAAAATTTTCATTATATATATATAAGACTATATATATATATAAAATATATATAAACAAAAATTTACAACATAAAAAAACAGGCTTAAATTCCATGGAAATTGCAGGCTTAAAATACAGGAATTTTAAAATAAACACGAACTTTTTTTAGGAATACGTTATGAAAGCGTCGCCCATGTGACTACGGCGTGACCACGTTAAACGGAAAGCTGATCTTTTAAAAATTTTCAGTTATCTGTTTTACTCTTGGATAAGACTTGTGTTTTTTATGTCCATCGTTTTCGTCATATTGAACTGAATTTGTATTTTAATGAATTTGTCTTGAAAATGGTTTATTAAAACCGAAACGTCTGACGTCGACAATTCGTCATTTTAACTACATTTAGATTTTTTTGTTTGTTTTCAAATTTCTACATTCTGTCGATCCATTTACACTTGCTTATATACTGTCTATTTTCGTTTTTTAAACATGGAAGATTGCAGGCTTATCCGGAAATTTTTAAAATAAACACGGATTTTTCGCCCATGTTTGTTTTTAAACGGAAATTTCTTTTTAAAAATTTTCATTATATATAAGACTATGTCCATCGTTTTCGTCATATAACTGAATTTGTATTTTAATGAATTTGTCTTGAAAATGGTTTATTAAAACCGAAACGTCTGACGTCGACAATTCTTTCATTTTATATTTATGGATTTTTGTTTGTTTTCAAATTTCTATATATATATATATATATATATATATCTTAATTTAGAGTTGAAGCAGTTTAATGTCCATTTAAGTTGAAGGTGTCTCACGTCCACATCAGGAATTTCTTTTTAGGTCCCAACAGGGGGGAATTCAGAGATATAGTCCTCATTTTCTTCCTAAGACTGAAAATACCCAGCCAGATATAAATCGGACGATATTTCGTATTTTCTCCTGTAAAAATAAACTCTGCCACGTTAATAAAATAATCACAGTAATTCGAAGAACAATTTTAAATTTCAAATCAGTTGAAGAACACTGAAAACCATATGAATTTTTGATTTTTTTTCTGTATAATTCTATGCATTAAACATCGGTGTGAAAATATTTACTTGAATCAATAAATTTAGAATGTCTTTCTTGTTTCTCCAAATAGACACGTCATTGGCTGAGAATTTGGATTTGGAATCAAGTTAAATATTCCACCAATGTTAAATTAATTGAAAAGTCCAAGGAAATAAATTTGATAATCAATTCAAATACGGAAAATGATGTAGATGCCGCACTGAGGAACAAAGACACCCTTACAGAGGTGCAGACATACACAGGCACACGAAGACACAGGTATTCGCAGATACATATATACACACATACACGCCTCATGCCAACAGACACACAGGCAGACACATGGATACTATTCGATCAGAAACATCTCGATCTCATAGTCATATATAAAATCGTCCGGTTCGCAGTCATCCGCATTTTTTTGGTCATGAGTAGAAGTAGAAGTTTATCATTTCTTTCCTGTTTAGGGTTGGGTCACTGATTTCTTCTAAAGTCTTTTCATTCGCTTTCACTCCAGTAACCCCCCTTTGCGTCTTAGTAGCGTTATCTCCTTGCTAGGGGTGAATTGATGAAAACAACTTCAACAGTGGCAGTCAATACTGTTTAAAAAACGTTCTTGGCCGGGTCAGTCTTTTTAGGCTTACTACTATCCATTCATTACTTCCTTCTTCCCTTTCCTTTCCATACCTTCTCTCTATCTCACTTTTTAAAAAAAAACCTGACCCTCCGTCACTTTTCTTATTCCCCTCCTTCTATCTTGCTCTCTCTCTCTCTCTCACTCTCTCTCTCTCTTGTTAATAAAATATATCAGTCCGATGTATTGTCTCAATTTACTTAGAGTTTTCGATCTGAAGAATTCAATATATAGATATTCACAAAATGAATTACAACCGAAATGAATCTTTAAGATTTTCTTCTTGCTTAGACAGATAGATAGACAGACATACATAGATATTCGCAGAGACATAGATAGATAGATAGATAGATAGATAGATAGATGTATATATATATACATAGATAGATAGATATAGATATATATGTATAGATAGATAGATGTATATATATACATAGATAGATAGATAGATAGATGTATATATATATAGATAGATAGATAGATAGATAGATAGTGTTGAAACTTGACTAATGCATGGAATACAACACAAAATGTACTTAGAACAAAATGTATTGAAACAAGAAAGTGTACACAATATTTACATATAGTCTTTTGTATATTCTTGGGAAGACCGTTCCGGAGAATGTGTTGTCTGAGTCGCAGTCGGGCAGAGTCTCTGGATTGAATCTCTTGATTCCTCCTCCGTCTTCCCGGTGCCAACCATATTTATATGGTCGGTACTCCACTATGCAAATTAGGTGGATCCTACCACAACAGATAGACAGACATACATACATATTCGCAGAGACATAGATAGATAGATAGATAGATAGATAGATAGATAGATAGACATAAATATTCGCAGAGACATAGGTTGATAGATAGATAGGAAACAGACACACAGAGACACAAATATAGATAGATAGACAGACATACGTATTCACAGATAGATAGATAGATAGATAGATAGATAGATAGATAGATAGATAGATAGATATTTG